TCAAAGAAAAACCAAGAATTAACCACCGTTTTCAAACGTACTTGCGCTTCCTTCTTTTTTTTTTCCCTAGTGACTTACACTCTTTCTAAGTTTAATGTAAAATATTAAACATCAATGTATCAAATTGAGTATCTTCTTTTTTTTATCTTCATATTCTTCGTAATTTGAGTAAGTTCATCAATCTCGGTGTTCATACTAAATAAATCTACTTCCTGCAAGGAGGAAGAAGCATATAAGTTTATGTTGTATATCTTTTGTCACTTACAAATATATTATGCCCTCATATAAAATTAACCTTATTAGAGACTGCATTTTTGTTAGAGCGAGCAATGAATATATGTTGAGAGATATGAAGGCTTAACATGGTTATCAGACATTACAAGGTACCATGTCTCGCTTTTGAGCATGAATTAGATACTAAACCATAGTTGAAAAGTTATTGAGAAGATTATTAAAACACATTTTTTTGTACTATAACCATTGCTCCTTTTTTTCTTTACGCATTTTGGAGCCAGACAAATTTTGTTTTTAATACTATAGTAAAATTGGTGTTGAGTTTATATATTTTGTTTTATATTATTAGGTTTTTGTATATAAATCTTACAAATTTCCAACTCCGTAAAAAATCTTATGCTTCTCATCTTTTGGTTTCTTTTCTTAAACAAGAACCTAGATGTTAAAAAGCTCGAGTGCAAGATAATTCTCCAAGGCCTCTAATGGCTTTGATGAACACAAATTCTGATAGTTTTTTTAAACATGATTTATCTAATTCTTGCATGAAAATTATAAACATTAACCTCAAAGAACCATGCAAGTCGTCATGTCATTAATGAAGTCACGTAACCTTGGAGGTTCAGAACTATTAATCTTTTGACATTTATATTCTTATATAAACCCATGTTGGCTGAAGGATAGTGATTGGAAAAAAAAATTAGCTAATCATAATACTCTCTATTTACTGCTAAACAAAACATATAAATCTGATTTTTTTAGAGGCAAAATGTACCGACAGCTATGTCTTATGATCCGTCACTTCTTCTAGATGGTACTAGCAGCGAGAAAAAGTCGTCGCCAAATCTAAGTGTGCGAGGATTTGAATTGATCCATGATGTGAAAAGTGCAGTCGAAAAAGAATGTCCCAATGTCATTGCTTGTGATGATATCATAGCTATGGCGACTAGAGATCTTGTTACTCTTGTAAATACACTAAACTTCATTCTTATATCTACACACTCTATTTTCTATGTTATGCGTTTCCTAACCGATTGCAAAAAATAATTGAAATTTTGATTTCAAGGCAAGCGGACAAAAAATAAAATATGAGATACCAATGGGACGACAAGATGGTTTGGTCTCTTTGGCTTCCACCGTTGATTTGCCATCTCCTCGGTTGACCATCTCCGATACCATTGCGAAATTTGCTAAAAAGAACCTTAGCCTTACCGACATGGTTCTATTTCTTGGTATGGGTAGTAAATTAACTAAACATCATAAGTTTAAATCAAATATGTTTTTGTCGTCAA